GTTTGGTCAGTTGGGTATTTTTGGGTTTTTAAATCAGAAGCAAGCAGACACTGGAGGACCCAGGTATCTCTAAACAAGTGGCCTATCACCTGTCTTCTACCTTGATGAGGTAGAATGGTTTGACAAAGATCCATTTATGATTGCTTTATAGCTCAACACTAATGTTACCCCAAGACACCAGAGGTCCAACTTCAAATCCTACCCCAAATCCTCCTTGCTGCAACAGTCTCATCTTGAGATGAGAAGAATTACCCTCTGCGTTAGTCACTAATGCTCCTTCCTGAAGCACTGTAAGTGTAACTTGCTCTTCCTGCTGTATCCAATGCCCAGTTCTTATACTGAGCAGAAGACCATCCATAGGAGTCCGAGATGCTACCTCATCCCTGCAGGGACTGGCGTGCTCTCCTGTGATGTGGGCTGAAATCCTCCCACATGCAGGAGACTGAACATGCATCCCTCTCAAACTATGTAAGTGCTCTTACAACTATGCTATGGGAAGAGATGATGAATGCCATCCACGCTATTGTTCTTTCTGTGACTCTGGGGTCACCAGTGCCTTACAAGGGTGCCAAGCTGTTAATAATCAAGAAGTTATTGAGAGCTTGATTTGTTTTTTAATATTTTCATTATGGTTGCCAAGAGAAAAAAATATATACACACAGTAGTGGCCCCAATAGCCAAAAAGGGACCAGCCATATTTTTGGAAGTAAGAAGCACTTAAAGAAAAAAGAATTGAACCATCATACATCTCTCCTATTACGATAACAATTAATAGGGAGCTGGGGATTACCAATAGATGAGAGGAAGCAGTCCTGAAACAAGTGGTAACACAAGGAAGACAAAGCACTAGCCCAGAGCCTGAGTACATAACAGAGACATGCCCTGGATCTGGCTTCTAGGGAAAAAAAGGGGAAAAACAGGTTACTGGGATAGCCATGGCTGATGTTAGCTTGAAAGAAGAATCTGGGGCTTGGAGAGACCACTGCATTTTATGAAGCTGCTTATATATACACTTTGCTACAACGCAGCTGAGAACTAACTGTAATGTTTGTGCAGCTCAAAGACTAGCTTTTAAGAGCAGTGATTTACAAGTGCAGCAATTCAGGCTCTCTGCCTGCACCAGAGCCAGACACCGCAGATGACTAGATAGGTACCTCTCAGAGGTAAAGCAACTTCCTTCTGCCCCAACCCCCCTTCTTCCAAGGAGCCATGCAGATCCCCGGCTGCATGGCCAGGCTGTTCATGCAGCCCATCCC